ATGTCATACAATGGTTGCTGACTCTAATCAACTCTCATTTTTTTCACCCTTCTCTTCTCCCGTGTTAGTTTTTTTTTCTAGCCTATATCTATCTCACGACGCCCGGGGGGGGGGGGGCGCTCCGCCTATAGGCATTCCTCCCACTTCTGCCCTTCCTCCTCCCGTTCTTCTCTTCCTATTACAGTACACCACAAAAAAAATTTAAAAAAAACAAAAAGTTAGAAAAATTTATGTATAAAAAATTTGAATTCAAATTCAAATTTGAATCGGGTATGTAAACTTTTGACTTATAAACTTTGGATCTATAAACTTTAGGTGTATAAACTTTAGATGTATAGAAATACTATATTAAAAAATATTTGAATTCAAATTCAAATTTGAATCGGATATATAAACTTTTGGTCTCTAAACTTTAGATGTGTAAACTTGAGGTGTATAAACTTTAGGTGCATAAATTTATTAAAATAGGAAAGTAATACGGTGCCAAAAAAGGAAACCAGGTGGAGGGAGGGAGGGGGAGGGGGGGAATCGATCGCCCTGAGCGGGCGAGCGCGCTCACCCAGTAGCATTTCCGAGTTGACTCTCCTCTCTCATCCATATCAACACTCACCTATATTTGACAGGGTCATGTGTAGATTCATTTATTGCTAATGTAAATGTCTTAAGTGATGTTCAGTACCGCTCATCTGTCTGTGCTAATATACGGGTTTTGTGTTGTCGGCAAATATATATTGTTTTATTTTGTTAAACCATTACTCTATACACGTTTATATATTTTGTACCATTGCTCCCTTTAAACAATTAAAGTAAAATAACTTTCAGTTCTCTAGAGGGTGTGATATAGATAAAAAGTATTTCCTTCGTTACATAAAAAACCAACATAGTATAGGATACGACACATTCTAGTTATATGTCCAGATTCATAGTATTAGAATATATCACACCTGGCCTGGTCTTAGATTTGTTTTTTACGGGGCGGATGGAATAGATCTAATACATTCACATGTAAAGAAATGGATCGGAACAAAGGAAGGCGTCACGAAGACCTTAATTTTCTATTGTCCAATAGCTCAATTTGTCTATGTAATGAAATTAGCAAGTTGGTGCTCTCTTGAGTTTGTGCAGCTAGATTTGGTTTGTATATTTTAACATTTTTTTAGCCATTCGTGTGCTTGTGGAGAGCCTCTGTGATGTATTAGGGAAAACAAATTTAATTTGCATATGCATGCGTTTATTACCATCCCTTTCTTATATATATATATATATATATATATATATATATATATATATATATATATATATATATATATATATATATATATATATGCGTGTGGTGTGTAGTGTGTATTTCACATAACAGCCATGACATATATACCTTGTATGTCTGACCCAAACTTGTAGTAAAATGAATTCCAGTAGCCCAGTAATTTCAGCTTTAATTTACCATCACAACTTCTCTAGTTTGGTTGTGATTTCAATTTGCTACGTTTAGGAGCATTTATTTTCTTTTCAAATTGTTGCACACAAGTACTTAATACATTTTTTAAGTTAGAATAAGTTACTTTTAAAAAACTAAACATGTAAGTTGTTGTATTATATACGTGGTTGTCAATCTAGTGGCCAAAAAGAAAAAAAAAGAAAGACTTAATAGACAGGGCAAACCAATCGATGCCACTATGAATAATAGGCATAAAAAGGAAAACGAATCCAAGGGATATATCTTAGGTTAGAACCCTTTGATGCCCAAATTATGGGGTTCACTAGCCTTGTACTATTAGTTTGGAAAATAAAGTTGTTGAGTATTGTTCAAGTTGTCGAAAACAATGGCCTATATACGTGTATGTAGGAGTATAAAATATAAGACAATTGGTCAGCTATGAATCTGTAGGACGTCCTGACAAAGAAAGGAAATCTAATTGGCCACTACATTGTCAACCATAATACATCACACATGCATGCAACAGTTCATATTTTTAGCTAATTAACTTGACTTTCTCTAAAATAGTAGTAGTAAGTTAGTAACTAGCTAGATACTCTGTTCGATAGTGCTAAAAAAAATTGTCGCCACAATTTTCGATCGATTTCAATCGGATCATCGAATCATTTTTGCCCAAGGAATTTAACTTATGTACATGCGGGGCAGATCTAGTTCCTTTTGCTGTATTATCCTACTGAATTCAGTGAAATTCTATTAAAAAGTTGCTAGTTGCTACAAATTTATAAAGATGAACCTATAATTCAGTACAGATGATTTGAACTTTCGAAGATATATTTTTTTTTATTCCTTGAGACATCGTCTTGTCGTTTCTACATCACTAGAAATCATAGAAAAAAAAAGAGTTGTCCCTCTTCGGACGATTTTGTAGCCTTTTGATACCTGTCACAGGCGAAGTCAAGCTTGTACTTTTACTGTTCAAAATAGTGATATCCTATCCGTACACGTGGCATATGTTCGATGGGGTCCCATATAATTTTTTTCTCGATTTTCTCGTGAAACTAATGGTGCCGGATCGCCGTGCTTGACAGGATAGTTAGCCCTATGGCTAATTAGGGTCACCAAAATGATTATCAGGTGATCAATTAGGCAATTAGCGTGTCTTAAGCAGGCATGTTGGACACGAAGTGTGTGTACGTGTACTACTGTGCTTTGATATGAAAAGATTGAATCTTTTTGGGTTGGGGTCAGTGTTTAATCACCAACCGGTGGTTAGATGGGAGCTGGCTAATACCATTAGTGTACCTGCACTTGTAGGCCAGCTTGAGATTGCAGTAAACGAAACTCAAGGCAAGCTTGATGTTTTGGAACTTCAGTGCATGAATGAGTTCATCTTAACTAAACGTGGAGCACATGTTACTACGTATTCAGACATGAACAATTATCTTCTCTAGGAAAAGGCTACTCCCTCATCCCAAAATAAATTAACCTAGGCCTTGTTTAGATCCCTTGACAAAATTTTTCACCATGTCACATCGAATGTTTGGACACATGCATGGAGTATTAAATATAAACAAAAAAATAATTAATTACACATATTGCGTGTAAATTGCGAGACAAATCTTTTAAGCCTAGCTAATTGCTCCATGATCTGACAATGTGGTGCTACAGTAAACATTTGCTAATGACAGATTAATTAGGCTTAATAAATTCGTCTCGCAGTTTACAGCCGGATTCTGTAATTTGTTTTTGTTATTAGTCTACGTTTAATACTTCAAATGTGTGTCCGTATATTCGATGTGACACGCCAAAACTTTACACCGCTGGATCTAAACACAGCCCTACTGCCCTAGTATATGATGTGATATTTTCTACTAAGTACTGTGATCTGTACAGTGCATGATTCGTAGTTTTAAAAAAGTCATATTTCATACTAGCTAGGTTAATTATATTTATTTTGGGATGGAGGGAGTATTAAAGTGTAAAAAACAACATGAATTTGCAATAATTCTACAGACGTACATAACTGAGACATGTCAAATTAAGTTCAAGTGGGGGGTCACTATTCCTAAGACGATGAACTTCGAATGACTTTTAAGACCATATGAAAAAAAAGATAGGGGGGAAAGGATAAACACATGAAAAACAGGTAACTAGAAAACATGAAAACACAAAAACAAATACGTACTATTCCTAGAAAAAGCTTGATTCTAGTATAAAATGATCAGTATGAAGAATTTGAATAAGTAATTACGAATATTCATGCCAGAACATCCATTTTCTCATTTAAAACAAAAGGTAGAAAAACACGTTTATTCTGAATAGGATGATAAATACGCTGAAAAACCATTGTTTATCATGCCCCCGAATATTAATGTGGTAATCTTCGTTGATTAAAAAACAATTATTTATGGATATTGTCAGTAAAAAGTTTCTCCGTGTCCTGCGAATCGACGAGTTGACACATGAAAAACAGTAAATTATTTCACTAATAATCAAATAATCAAAACTACACAAAGTGAAATCTTCTATTTATGGAGTACTTGGGGCAGTTGGGCCTTGAGTATCTGGCATTAGTTCAAGCTTGCCTAGTGGGCTAGTGGCTACAAGGAAACAGGCCTTTATCACAGCCCAACAAGAGAAATGCTTAGTGCTGGACATGGTGCAGTTGCACTGTACCATTTCAGACTTGCACGGTTTGGACTTTGGACAGAGTAGAACGGATACGAATGGTTGCCTGTCACTGCGCTTGTCAGTCTGATTACAGATTTCAGAAGAATGGGAATGGAGATATTCTCTGTAATCGAATTTCACATTAATAAGAGCACAAAAACAGAACATTTTCTAATGACCTTTTTGTTTTCTTTGTGACCATAATACAGCACACATTCCGTTGTCTTTTCTGTTATACCAGCCAACTGCACAACAGTCTACAGCTTGGAGGCAAGCAACCAAACATTTGCTTCAAAAACTGAAATCTATCAAACCCCATTATTGCTTACAGCCTTGCCACATTCACCCTGGAGGCCACTTCTACAAATGTGTCATATAGGCTTAAGCCACATGTGTAAAAAAAACTTATTTTTCTTTTAGAATGTAGGTGTTTAAGTGGTATTTTCAATTTTTCTACTCCTTTTTTATTAGCCCCTTATATTTTCTATTTTAACCCTCATATTTTTCCAATTAAGAAGCCACAACTGGTCTTTTTAAAAAAGGAATTTTTAACCCTACATGGCAAGAGTTCGGAGTCCAAAAGGAATTTTTTTTTAAAAAAAATCACCAAATCTTGGCATAGACCGAAGAAATCCCGTGAACACCATGATCTCAGCAAGACCTCCAAACAGAGAGATCAACTGGCCTTCTGAATCGCTACATGGACATGTCAAAGAATCAAGGGACAAGAGAGGCACTAGGTACAATGGCTGCATGCGTTTTCAGATCGCCCAGAAACTGGCCTCTGAAATCTGAATTTCGCAGGACAAAACACGGTCAGAATTTTAAAGCCTGACGATCCCGTCGCAGGATCACACTTGTGCTAGCAAACACATCACAAACAACCCGATGCTTCCCATCACAACAAAGATTGTACTACCATTCCAGACTGAAGATGAGGGTACATTTTGTTCCTAGGTGTTGCCACTTTTACAGGCACTGTCCTCTCCAATCCTCTAAACAGTAAATCACCTTCACCACCACCACACCCCCAGACATATAACTGCAGCAGCTGAATGTCACACTGCAACACAAGATAGTTTCTAGGACCAACATGAAGAGGGCAAAATAAAAAGGAGAGAAAAGGCTACAAAATTACGAGTCTCCGATGAGAAAATACTCCATCTATGCGGTAAATTCCTTTCGCCATGGATTCTTCTGCAAGAGCTGTCTCTACCACCCAACAGTTAGGAACAGAGCAGTATGTACAAACTAGGCTCCTCTTGTTCTTTTTTTTTTTACTTTTTAATCTCTTGTCTAGAAAGGGATGCTATCGAAGTGATCCGGCGACTGAAAGCCTGAAATGTCGATCAGGCTGGCTGGGCAGCTAGGACCCGGTTGTGATTGTGATCACCTTCATAGGTAACAATCAACATCGAGGGGTCGTCGACGCACCTCTCAACATGCTTCCTGGCTGGGCATCCTCTTACACTGCTACACTTATAGTAACCCCTGAAAAACGATGAGCATACGTGAATATTCTTCAGCAATCTCTTCGACAAAAAGAATGAGTAATTTGTATAGGGAAAGGCTGTTAGCTGTAATCTTTCTTGGATTGCAACAGGCATGTTACCAAAATTAGAGCTTGGCATTCTTGTAACTACATGTGTGACTGAAGGTATCACCAACCACATGAGTTGCTTAAAACCAAAACTATAACTTTCTCGAGATCCCAATCTCCCTTTGCTATAACCAGCCTCTAAACAGATGTGGAAAGAAATCTAGCTTGAAACTTACAGCACATAGTATCATGAGCTACAATCATTTATTGCTGTCCAAATTAGAAAACCTTTCTGGTGAATAATTAATGGCATATCATGCATTCTATGAGATGTGCATATACTTAAATCTGCTAAGAACAGAGAAGATAAAAATTTCATGAACAGAAATAATAGCTCAATGTAACCAGGCAGGACCGTTTCCTAACATACTAGTACTGATTACTGAATAATAGTGACAAGTCAGCAAAGCACAAGTGTAGATATCATGTGCAGTATGAACTAGCAATGGCACCCAATTGTACCAGAAAAAACACCTGGCAACATAATGACTAAATGACTACATGAGATTGAGCATTTAGCTATACCTAGGATGTGGGGATCCTTTTATTGGCTTCTGTCCATACTTCCTCCATGAGAACTCATCAGCTGGAATGTCAGCAACCTTATTACTGATTGCAGGGACTTTGATAGACCTCCTTATCCTCAGCTTCCTGCAATTACATACAAAAGTGACTTAAGAAAAAACATAAGGTCAAGATACTCATATCAATTTATCACAAAAAGAAAAAAAAATCCAACCTTTTCTTCGCACAGTGACATCGGCTCCCAGTTGTGCATCGTCCACTACCATCCTCCCTACCAGTGCACCTCCTCCTCTGCATGAGGCCTAACTCTGGAGTGCTTGACGTCTGTGACCCACTAACTAGCTGGAATGGACGACTGGAGCGGCTACCGTCCAAACTCGCAATGCTCCCCTCCATACTCAGAGACGACAAGAATGAACGGGAGGATGATGCCGTGCAATTAGAACTGTCAAACTTGAGATTAACACCCTTACCACCACCATTGCTACCACCCTGTTCACCAAGGCCACTCCTCTTTATCATCTCACTCTGCATCTTCATCTGCTGCATGAGCTGAAACCTCTGGTAGCTCTGATGCTGCTGGATGAAATGAAGATGCGCCGAAGGCAATGCCGGGTGAGGCGTTCCAGCTGGGGGCGCAACAGACACCGGCTGGATGAGCTGGAGCGGTGGCCCCCGTGATGGCCCATCCGAATCAACCGCAGGGTTATCTAGAAGCAACCTTTTGGGGAATTGGGCAGGGATCCTAACAGGATCCTTTGAAGAAGAGCCCTCCATCTGATGGTACCTCGGAAACAGCTGGAGGCTAGTGATCGGACTCGAGTTAGGTGTCTTGGCTGCCATCGCCACAGCCAGTGCAGGGCTCTCCAAAAAGAGGTTGCTATCAAAGATAGGCAAGGGCTTCTTGATCTTTCTAACCCGGGCATGGCCCTGGAGGCCATTGCCATTGTTCAGCCTGGATGCCACGGAGCAGAACTTTGCAACAGCCTCTCCCGTAGCCGCCGCGAGATCCTTGTTAGGGACAAGCTGGCTATGGGGGCTGGAGAGGAGGGTGAGCACCCTGTGACAGCTCTGCACTGCCTCCCTGTTTGCTTCCTCCATCCCCTCCATGAATCACTCCCCTCCCACCCTACCTGCACAAACAAATCAATCACCTCTTGACTCTGATCATACACACAAATCTATCAAGCTCACCACCAAATGCTCTAACCTAGAAATTCTTGAGCCCCAATATGCAACTCTAACACAGGGATCACATCACATCATGAGCATTTTCCATATATAAATAGGAAACAAGCAACACATGGGTAGATTTGCTGATAGCCCTAATCATTCCATTACCATATATATATTAAAAAAAACAGCCACCTCACTGGATGATTTCAAGAAACAGCACCACCTGGGCGATGCAGGGGGGGAGATTCTCACAATCATGCGGCGCACACGGGTGCCATTTCCGACGAGCTGAGCTAAAATTGGGCACGCGGGCACGCAACATGGCATTCCCGGTGGCCTAATCAATACTACCAAAATTAGGCAACCTGACACAATCCAAGAACCACCTGAGCCTACAAGAACAGAAAAAAAAAAAGGGAAAAAAATCACCACACCCCACCACTCCACTCCACAACCATGGCCATCACCCCTGCAGCTGCTCCCCCCTAAAACCAATCCCCAAAAACCAACAGAAATTTACTCCCCCATAAACCCCAAACAGCTGCCTCTGCTACTACTCGATCCACGGAAACAAGAAACGCATACGCATGCATGATCCTACCAGCAAAGGGCAAGAACAGCAGAGTAAAAACCTCACCTCGCTGGAGCCAGGGCTGAGACCTCCACCGGTGGAGACGACGACGACGAGGAGGAGAGGGAGTGGCTGCCCCTCTCTCTCTCTCTCTCTCTCTCTCCCTCGGCTGGTACAAGCAGGGAAGCGCAGCAGCAGTAGAAGTAGAGTCCAGTACTAGTCCAAGCAAGCCACTGAGTGAACGAAGAAGAAAATAAATAAATGAATAAATAAACAAATTGGTGGGGAAGAGGGTGGGGCCAGGGCAGTGCTCTCGCTTTTTTGCCCCTTCTTTTCTTTAATTTTCTTTTCTCCCTTTGTGCTCTCTGGTATTCCTCCTCGGGCGGATTAAAATAATAATAAAATAAAAAATAAATACCGCGGGCGGGGCCACCGAAGTGGGCCCCAGGATGATCTGCGCCGTCCATCGCGCCCGTCTCCGTCCTGCGCCTTGGACTTTTTCCTTGTCCCCGATTTTTTTTTCTTGAGTTTTTATATTTTTTATTTTATTTTATTTTCCTCTGGGGTGTGGGGGTGTGGTGGGCCCGGGGGCTACGGGCTGCCGTTTCGTCAAAGGTGTGAGCTGTGTCAGGCGCCACAGTGGTGGGCGCGGGCCCCACGCATTCTCTGTTTTTCTTTTCTTTTCTTTTCTTTTTTCCTTTTTTTTCTTCTCTCCTTGCTGGGCTCCTGCTCCTCTCGTCGTGTGCGCGCGTTTCCAATGCTGTGGAGGCTGCGCGCGAGTGTCAAACCAGGGGTGACGTACAGCAGCGACGATTTTTTTTCCGATGCTGCTGTGATGGGAGGAAGGAAATGAACCCTCAAGTCTGAAGTCACCTTGTTTTGTTCGTTTGTCATTTATAGCATAAATCTTTGCTCGGTTATGATGGTATCTCTTAAGTCACAGTGTTTCGTTCGTATGTAGAGTCCTATTTATAGCATACATATTTGCTTAGATATGATGATATCTTTTAAGCTATAGTGTTATGTTTGTATGTAGGCTTCATTTATAGCATAAATCTTTGCTCAGTTATGATGATATCTTTTTAAGTCACAATGTTTTATTCATATATATATAGCTCATCTATGGCATAAATATTTGCTCAGTTATGAAATGATATCTTTCAAGTCACATTATTTTCTTCGTATCTATAGCTCTGAAATCACTTTGTTTTGTTCGTTTATCATTTATGGCATAAATCTTTGCTCAGTTATGGTGATATATTTAATCATTTATAGCATAAATCTTTGCTCAATTATGGTGATATATTCAAGTCACAGTGTTTGATTCATATATGCAGCTCATTTAGGCCATTCTCAACCCAATGACTAGGATGGTGTCCATAGCATTAAATAAGCTGTCACCTAGAATGAAAAATGATGTGGCAAGTGAATAAATGATAAAAGAGTCTTGCATGAGACATGATTTCTACACAACATCCAAGACATTATGTGAGGTAAGTAGCATTTAATTTAAGTATGGAATAGTGGTGTTTGCATTGGGAGAGTAGTGTCTAATACTAGTTTCTTAATGATGTGGAGTTTATGGAAACTATGTCTAGTGTCTTGGGTTGGGAATGGCCTTATAGCATACATATTTACTCAATTATGAGATGATATATTTCAAGTCACACTGTTTTGTTCGTATCTAGAGCTAATTTATATCATAAATATTTGCTCAGTTATAGTGATATATTTAAGTCACGATGTTTTCTTTGTATCTATGGTTCATTTATAGCATAAATTTTTGCTCACGTATGGTGATATATTTAAGTCATAATGTTTTTTTAAGTATCTATGGCTCATTTAAAGCATAACTTTTTGCTCATTTATGGTGATATATTTTTATTGGTTTTTCTACCTAGCGTATTGCTTATATTGCTTGAGCAGTTTTGTGCCATATTCATTTATGGCACACCTGATTACCTGAAGGATGTAAAACAGGTTTCTCATTAATGAGATGATTTTTCTAGTCACTAATAAAGGATCTAAGGAGTGCACAAATGATTTCTCAATAATAGCATATACTTGTATTTAGATTTATCATTCATACAATGTGTCATATTTATGTATAGTATTCTTATAGCATAAATTTCCATTCGTAGCACAATCCAAACATTTTAATTATTGTACTTTAAGAACGGGGTTTTTATCCGTAACACAGTTTCATTTTTAGCACACGTGAAAGGGTTTTACATATATAGTCATTTATAATATCTGAAAGAGTTTGATGTTGATTAGTCATCTATAAAATAGTTTCATGTCACATACTCATATACTGGAAATTAGTTATATTATCTAAAACATACTCGTAGTCATTTACAGCACACATCTAGATATTACGAGATATATCTTTGAGATTGTTCATTGTTTTTTCTCACGAGAACCGGCCTCCTTAAGTACATCGTCTTAGATAGCAGAAGTAAGTCATTTCATGACATATTCGCAGGTGCAAAACATATTTATCATAGCAATATTGTTTCTCTAGATCGATCACATGTGGTAACTTCTTTTTGGAACATCCTATATATATGTCGTGCAAACATGTTTTTTCACTGATACAATAATTTCATATCTAATCATTTACACCACATTCAAAACGTACAAGTAGACATCAAGCAAACAATCAATCGAATGAACAAAGCCTTGATGAGACTTTAGGATTTGTGGGTCATCCTATATATATAGTAGATATAATTAATGGAGCAGTAACTATTATTTCTTCTCGTTTTTCTTTTGCATTAGTGAGGCTTGAATGAAATATATATCCTTACATGGTCATCATATGCCCTTTGCATTTTTCAACAGGATTTACCACTCTAGCAAACATGTAATTCTTGTTCGTATAGTAGGAACACATCCTTAGAGTTGATGATCTAGATGATGGACATACATGTCTTACTCTTACATGATCGAGCTAGTTACTTTTGAACCATATCACATACTAGTGCGCAGTACATCAGAACAAAGAAACTTAAAATAATATAGAAAAAATTGGAACCGAATTTGCTGGTGTTTGGAGGAATACATCTTTTCCTTAAGAAAAAAGTATGTTAGTATAAAATAAAGATGCATCATTAGAATGACCTAATAGAATCTAATATCATTGCAACATATACATTGTTAGAAAAATCAAACTTTGCCGGACTCAAAAAACAACTTTCTCGTTTTTTTACCATGTTTCTCGAACTGCTAAATAATACATTTGGTGCAAATACTTTTATATATAAAAGTTTTTTAAAAAAACTATATAAATCTATTTTTCAAATTTATAATAATTAATACTTAATCAGTAATTAGCTAAAAATGGCGTACCCGTTTTCCGTACCACTGACTCTAAAATAGAACTCCTCACAAAGCCAGCAATGTTCCTCACATCTTCCAACTGCAAGTCTGCAGCACACATGGGCCGCACGCGGAGGCCGCCGCACCCGATCCGGGCCTTCCTCCCCTGAAGCCGTTGGAGCCCAGCGAACCACCCCGCGACACGTCGCGGCAACGAGGAGTTCGAGATCGAGTCTCCCCGGTGCGGGCCGGGCCCACGCCCGCTTGGTGGGCCCCACCTCTCGTTAGCCGAAGCGAGGCGCACGCGCGCGCACTACGCAGACCCGACCGCGACCGGCACCACCAGGTCGGTCTCGGCGGCGAGGGCGGGCGACTCGGCCGCCGGGTCTCGCGCGCGGCGCGAGCGAGCCATGACGCGAACACGTACGGGGTTTTGTGGTGCGCGAGTGCCGCGTCGTCGCCCACTCGATCGATCGATCGTGCGCGTGCTGCGTCGCGTCGTCGATGCTGTCCTCCACTGAGGAGTACTCCACACCCACACACACACACACTCCACTGCTATTTCTGTGCTCCTCCGGTGCGCTGCTGTACGTGTTCATGGGTACTGGACTACTGGCTAGCAGGGAGTGATATCTCCTCCACGTGTTCATACTGCTTCTGGTTATTTTCCACTCTCTTCGTCCCAGAATATAGCAACCTAGAATTGGATGGGATGTATCCTAGTACTAGTAACCTGTACAGATACGTCACATCCTGTCCTAGCTTACTATATTATGGGACGGAGGGAGTACTATGTATTATCTCTGTTTTTTAATATATGACGTTGTTTACTTTTTATAAAAACAAATAGAGTACTTCCTCCTATTTAGGAAAAAAAACTTCTAATAATGAAGCTGAACAAACATCTGTTGAGATTCATCTTTAGAATTGTTGATTTTCTTTTTATTACGCTTTACTCCCTTCGTTCCAAAATAAACAAAGCTAGTGCGAAATGTGGCATTTTCTAATTTTACGAATCCGAATAGATGTCCTCTCATACTAGCTAGTTTTGTTTATTTGAGACAAAGAAAGTACAATTTTATCAAAGCATTCTTTCTAACATATAAAGTCTTTTTAGGATGGAGAAAACAAATCATTATACAATGAGAATCTGAGATATAGGGTGCTAAAACATATAAGGTCCAAACAAAGCAAAGTACCACAGGCCTACAATCATACTCCGGCTAAAACAGCTATGGATCAGTCGGCAGCTAGGCTCTCGATCGTTTTGGGCGGCCGTACGCGCGCACGTGTGGACGTCGTTATCTTTGGGAGAAGAAATGCATGGCTAGTAATGATGGCGATGATTCAATTCCAGCACCTCTAATTATGGTCTCTACACTGTTTCTAGTTAGGATGGTCATGAATGGGCAATCATCATGTTCCTCTCAACACCGGAGGATGCATGATGGTGATCACATACTTGTCCTCATGATCTGATATGGTGCGATATATATGGAGTATCCACTGAATCTAAACAAGACTGACTAATTGCAAGCATGACAGACGCCAGCTGCTTAGTCTAAGCTAACCAAGAGTGTTCCAAATTAATCATGGGTTTTCATTCGGAACTTGACATAAAACTAAACCCAAAACTCATAGTTTGAACTCAAACCGACTGAAATTCAAATTTAATCTTATAAAGTTTGAAATCATAGTCTTTTATTCATTACCCCCCCCCCCAAGTTAGGAAAAACATCATTAGGAAACGGTGGTAGGATGACATAGGAGCACGTGAGTTTCCTAGTTTAAAATTCGTGACAATCTTAAGTAACCAGTTCAGTTAACGTAACAATTATAGAGAATTAATCCTATGGCCCAAGTCAGGCCAAAGAGAAAGAAAACAAAGACTGATACTCTCTCCGGGTTGAT